CTGTACTCCGCGTCCTCCGCTTAGTGTTTCTAAGCGGATGCGACGAAACTTTATTACCGGGCATGTATAGATAGACACGCGCCCACACTTTCATACATGTACTCACATGTATATTGAGACAGCAACCATTCAGCACAAGCATCCTGTGTGTGTGTGTGACAGGTGCCTTCGCCGTCCAAGTGGGGTGAGGCCATGCTACCCGCTGCTACCAACTTTGCGTCTCCTGGAAAGTCCTCAAGCGATGTCTTCACAAAGAGCTTCGCTGTAGTACAGTGTACAGAACCGGCAGTGGGCCGTCTGCGCCCTGTCATGCAGCGACTCAGATAGCCTACAGGTTGTATCATCCCTGCCGGTGGTGAGACTCTCCGAGCAGAGTTCCCTCGGAAGCGGAGCCCTCGAAGGGGATCGCAGGTCGGTGATCTCATTGACTTCTGTGGCACTGTTCTTGTCTGTGGAAGCTCACGGAGAGCCATCGCCTCTTGCTTGCAAAGGTCCGAGCAAGCATCTCGGCTTCTCACCACAAGCCGGCAACTGAGTGTAATATGTATATGTGTATCCGTATGTGTGTACATATGTAAGCAGGTTCGTGCAGTTTTGCATATGCACCTTGTAGGTGCGTGTGTATTTGCATGAATGAATGAATGTGTATATATATATATGTATGTATGTATGTATGTATGTATGTATGTATGTATGTATGTATGTATGTATGTATGTATGTATGTAGTGTGTATGTATTTGTACATATATACATACGAGTAGAATACAAACCGAAATATCTATACGCCTTATACACATGTTCATATTCATTTAATAAACAGATATTTATTTATTCAGGTTTGTCTTGTATGTTTGTCTTGTATGTATAATCATATTCATGTTTACACGCTCCTACAGGGTACACACACACAATACAGAAACTGCGTGAACCTGCATGTGTATAAACAGATACAGATATAGATATAGATATAGAAGTATATACGAACACACGACGATATCGAGATTATCGCAGTATAAGGGAGTGCCAGAATTCCTCGACCTTACCCGTCTCGCTGTTGAGGTTGGCTTCGGCGACGCATCCTTATCTCTGTGGAGCTGCGCGGCTCAGAGCGTTTCAGGCGAAGGCAAGCAAGGCAAGTCATCCAAGGGCGGTTTAGGAGCAACCGGCGAGCACAGAACCTCAAGAAAATAGAGCACTGGCAGCCTTGGGCTGCATTACTACCTTCTCCTCCAGGCTGCTCTGCCTGCAGATCTCCTCGCACTGCCGCACTGCTTGCCCGAGGTCCCGAGCCCCTGGCCAAACCGAAGGCGCCGGCCCCGGGTCTTCGAGAACTCGTGATGGGACTCTCGCCAAGCGAGCTTTGGGGATGTGGGCTGTTGATGGCTGCACTTGGGAGTATCGTATCAGCGGAATTGTTCAGAGGATGACGGGTATGGTGCAATTTCTTGTAGGTTCTGGTTACGGAACCTCTTGGTATCTCGGGGCTGGTCTTTGCGAAATCCTTGGCGTGAAGGTTCGGCATCCTTTCGCGGCATTTGGTTTAGACTGTGCTCGTTTACACAACCTCCGCAGCCGCAGCAGAAGTAGTCTTCTGCACGCTTCTGATTTGGTGGCTAGCAGAGGTAGTGTGACAGCGATGTTTAGGTACACAGTGTGGCTACTTGATGAGGCTCCAGGCCAGTCAGCACTGGCATCTGAATTCTGGCGGACACATGAGCGGTGCGCCCGCCGTCCGACAGTCCCACAATGATTCTCGGCCTAGGCTGCGGGATTTCGACCCAAAGCCCGGAACCCTAAACTTCAAGAGTCATTCGCGAACTAATTCGCAGGTATGCCTTGCAGCGGTCTCGGGAAGCCGCACGGCAAGCGGAGATCAAGAAGCACTCCGAAGAGACTCCCCAGCCGGGTAGCCTAGACCTACCAAAACGGCGCAGATGGAGATGGAACCGGTCACACGAGTGTGAAACAACAAGTCTCCTGACTCTGAGAGACTTGCAAAATGACGGGCCTGTCTACAAGGACCACGCGCAATGAGACCACCATCCAGTCTGAAACGCAGGTGCGATCGTCAGAGGATGTCTTCAGTGCGCGAGTGTAAAAACTTGCAAGTCCCCCCCACCTCATGCCGTCTTCTTCCATTTGGGGTTTAACTCTGTTTTCCACTTTTCTTAGACAGACACTGCGTTTCGGGTGGCCAACTGTTCCCTCAAAAATTATTGAGTTTGTTTGCTAGTTAGCTAGTTTCATCTTCGGAGGTCTCACTTCGCTAGTTTCATGTGGTGAACATTTGCATTGTGCTCGCAAAGTGGGTTTCCAAACTGCGCATCAGCCGATCGGCTAAGTCATTTCTAAGCCTACCCTCCAACAGCTTGTTTGGGGGGCCTTTGATGGGAAGGACCCACGAATTCACAATCATTTGTCCGCCAATCATATTTCTATGATCAGACCTCACAATGTTTAGGGTGCCCGACGTTTGAAACGTGGCACAACTCCTTAATCTCATGTTGTTATTCTCAGGGACCGTCCGTGGGCTTTAGGGTTGTCACCTAGAACATTGCTAACTGCTGCTGCTGCTGCTGCTGCTGCTGCTGCTGCTGCTGCTGCTGCTACTACTAGTACTACTACTACTCCTACTGCTACTACTACTACTACTACTACTACTACTACTACTACTAGCCACCCACCCCCTGCCAACTACACTTGCTCCATCCGGGGCTGGGCAGTGGCAGCTTCTAGGCTCCCGAACTG